CCCCAAAACCCCAAAACCCCAAAACCCCAAAACCCCAAAGTTTAAAGGTATATTGAAATTTAGTCATATTTTTCCAAAATATTGGCCATATCGTCAAAAGCACGAGAGACTTCATCATTAAGTTGCTTGTCAACTTTTTGGAGACGCTCCTGATCAAGCTTGTTAAGTCTCTTCAAACTCTCTTTGCTCTTTTCCCTCAAATTCTTAGTCCTTTCAAGATGGTCTTGATTCACTCTATCTCTTCCCCGAGGTTTCTTTTGAGGTGTTGATTTTGTTTTATCCGATTCTTTGATTCCATATGCAGAAGCTGTAGAAGGATCCCAGCCTTCTTCCAAAATCTTTGCTACGACAGGTCTTCTTTTCTTACTCTTATTCTTACCAATTCCAGTCTTTTTATTAGACTGGAAAGGCCGACCTTGAGCCCTGATTTTGCCAGTCCCAGTCCTCTTCTTTGTCTTTTTGGGCTTCTTAGTTGTTCTTGAAATTGGTTGGAATTCATAGTCCGAACTATCATCTCTAAATAGATCAAAACTAAAATCTTACGAAAGGTCAGAATCGTCATGATCCGCTTTCTTAGTCTTCATATAAAAATCAACTTCAGCTAGTAACATCTCATTATCTATCAGGGCATCGTCGCATTGAGGTTCTCTGGCTTCAAACTCCTCGTCAGCTTCCTTCATTCCCTTGTCCATTTCCTTCTTTGCTATATCTTTCTTTCGCTTGATGTCATCAATGACCACTTGTGCTTCTTCTTCGTCGATCTGGTCATTAAACCTATTGATCCGAGTTTCTGTATCCTTTACGAATTTAGTGAGGTCTTTAGCTTCGCTCTTAGCATCTTCAATGTGCCTTCCCAACATCTTGATCATCAGGTCTATGGTCTTATCTCTCTGTTTTTGAGTAACATTAGGGTCATCCTCGATTCTAGTGTCGAACAGCTCTTTTTCCTTCTTTTCTCGCTTTTCTTTTGAGTTTAGCCTACGTCGATCCTTTGATTTGTCCTTGGCAGGCTTCTTTTCAACAGGAGCCTTTATCTCAGAGATATCTTCCTCAGCCAGATAATTTCTTTGGTTCAGCTTTGACTGGAATCCATTCGGGTTTCTTATAGCGGAGTAGAGATCACCAACAAGGTCTTCAAGGTGGTCAAATACGTAAGGCTCCCCACCGGTGTTTGTTTCAAGCCTAGGAGCTGATTCTAGGTCTTCGACAAGGACTAAATCCCCACCTCTGGTATATTGAGTTTGACGAATAGGGACATCTGCTCCTTCTATAGGCTTTCAGAGTAATGAATCAGCAGCAATAGCTTCCTGAATATCTTCTTTAAGCTTTGTTGCCATTATGTTCTGACCTCCCATATTCTGGTTCGAGGAAGGCTGAGCCATCTCAAAGACGCTATTAGAGGCAGAAATGGCTCTGGATGATTCCATGAGGTTAGAAGCACGAATGTTCATCCTTAATTGTGAATCAGTGTCCTTAATCTTCTTATCAAATCCCTTGGCTAACCTCCTAGTAGCATTATCATGCTTTCTTTGTAGCTTTTTAATGTTCTTCCCTTGATGAGTATGCATTTCAGATTTGAGGCTTTTAAGCTCACCTACAACATATTCCTTGATTTTATCTTCTAGCATTGCTACTTGTAAAGCATTCATAGAGCCTCCAGCTGGTGCGGAGATTTTTGAACTCTGGTCTTGGGCCTGAACCCTGGCTGCTTCTCCGTTATAATAAATATTATGAAATTGTGACATGAAATCATTGTTATTAAATCTTTCGGGACCATGGAACTCAATATTGTCATGCTTTCCTATAAAAATTACGCTGGAATTCACAATTTCGTACCTTGTTTGTTATGAGCGGCGTATTTTTGCTTAGTATCTTTCTCAGGTTTGACTTTGAGCATTTTGAGGTCATTCTGACCAGTTCCAATTATTCTCTGTGCAATTTGATGGTTAATATTTCCGAAAGCATCTGCCTGCAAATTTTCAACTTTACTCTCTTCCTTACCTTGTATAATCCGAGTCAAGTTATCTTGTACCTCAAGCTTTGGGTAAACATGATGGTTAATGTCTTCGTCAAGTTGGCTCTGGCCAACCACAAATGGGTTTTGATACCCACTCTTCTTCCCTCCAGAAGGATTCCCGAGCATTTCAAATTTAATTTAAATTTTATAATTTTTAATTCATTTTTCACACAATTTTTGGGGTTTTGGGGTTTTGGGGTTTTGGGGTTTTGGGGTTTTGGGG